TTCGTTGGAACGAATTTACGGAAAATTAAGTAATAACTGGATGCGTAACACCTCCTTGTGTAAAAGACAGTAAATCATCTTTTAATATATTTAATTCACTTTGAAATTTACTAATGTTTTCCATTTGTACTTTTGCCACTATTGTTGACTTTCCTGTAGTTTCTGCTGACTTTCCTGGAACTGTTGGAGACTTTCTTCCTGTTTCCTTTCTTGTTCCAGTTGCCACTGCTGTAATCTTTCTTCTTGTTTATTTTCTTTCTCCTCCAACCATTGCTGTAGCCTCTCTTCTTGTTTTTTTCTTTCTCCCCAACCACTGCTATAGTCTCTCTTTTTTGTTTATTTTTTCGTTCTTCTTGTTTCCTTTCTTTTTCTTCTAATAACTGCTGTAATCTCTCTTAATGTTTCTTTTCTTTATCCTTCAACAACTGTGTAATCTCGCTTCTTGTTTCTTTTCTTTTTCCTCCAACAACTGCTGTAATCTCTCTTGTTTATTTTGCTGTTCGAGCTGCCATTGTTGCAAGTTTTCTTGCCACTGCTGTTGTCTCTCTTCCTGTTTTTTTCTCGTTTTTCTTATTTTTTTTCTTTTTCCTCCAACAAATGCTTTAATCTTTCTTCTTGTTTCTTTTCTCGTTCTTCTTGTTTCTATTGCTGCCATCAAATTTGCTAAGCTGCAGTTTGATTTGTCACCTCTGGTTTCCATCTTCTTTTTTTTTTGTCCCACTCTCTGACACCAATTTGTTAGGTCTCTGGTCGTTTGTTAATTACTCTTCTTTTCGAAGAACTTTAGCGGTACAAGTCCTTTCTCAAATAAAAGTAGTTTATTCTTTCTCATTTCAACTTTGCAATACACTTAATTTCCACAGTCACTTTTACTTAAACACACGCTATAATTCTCAACGAACGATTCACGCACTTTACTTACAGCTAGACTCGATTATCCGTCTATATCTTCAGTCTCTCTGTCTGCTATACAATTATTGCCGTCACTTTATTTGCCGGCTTATATGCTAAAATAGAGGGTGCCTAGCAAATACTGGATTATTCGTGATGTTCCCCGATCCTTCTAGAAACTCTTCAGGTGTTACAACGTCACGTGACTTCCGCTGTCGTAACAATACTAAGGAAGGGGCAGTCTTACGACAGCGGAAGTTATGCGATGCTGGGAGCATGAGCTCTGGAGTTTCTAGACGGATTGTGACTTAGCTGGCAACCTCACGAATGTCCCAGCGTTTGCTAGACGCCCTCTTTTTTTGTAGTATATAAGCCAGAGATAGATTGAAGAGAGATAATTAAGATAATCGAGTCAAGCGAGCAGTAGGCATCTGTTACGACAGCGGAAGTCACGTGACTCTAGTAACGCTAGCCTCGAGTGTTTACTTGATATGCGGCATTCTTGTATATAAGACCGCCAAGAAGTGACGGCAACAATGCAGTTGAATTGCAGACAGAGATAGAGACTGACAGTTGGGTCGAGCGCGTGTGTCGTTCGTTGTGAATTATAGCGTTTGTTTAAGTTATAGAGTGACC